TTCTAATTTACAGCATGAGCTGTTCTTTCTTTTTTTAAAGTTATTAAATTGTCAAAGGATCAAATTCATTTGAGTTTTTACATAGTGGTGTCAAACCATTGAAGGCTTCATCTGACAAATATCAAACTTCTTGTACTGTTTAATGCACAAAATTGCAGCATGCAGTAGCTGATCATGAACCTTGAAAATATTAGTTACCATGAAGGCAATTTCCATCTGTGGCATTAAATGGAATCTTCTTGTAGCGTTGTGTTCCTAACAGCAGGAATGCAAGTGCCTGGGAGCTCTGCCCATAGCCACAACTCAAGTCAGCTATGTCCTCATCCCCTTGCACTGCTACCACTCAGTGTTGGTGAGTCAATGCCTCCTCTGTAATGACCCACTAAAGTTTTTCATGAATAAAGAGCTGTTCCCACTCAGTTCAAATCCACCAGAAAAGTGACCTCATCTGCATACTATCTTTAGCCAGTTGTGAACCTCAATATATGTATTTCTCATTTAGATTCATAGAGAGATACAGCATGAAAACAGACTCTTCATTCCAACTCATCCATACCGACCAGATATCCTAAATAAATCTAGTCCCTTTTGCCAGCATTTGGCCCATTATCTCTCCAAACCCTTCCTATTCATATACCCGTCCAGGTGCCTTTTAAATGTTGTAATTGTACCAGCCTCCACCATTTCCTCTGGTAGCTTATTTCCATGCATGCACTATGTTCTGCGTGAAAAAGTTGCCCCTTAGATGCATTTTAAATCTTTCCCCTCTCTCCTTAAACCTATACCCTCTAGTTTTGGACTCATCCATCCCGGGGAAAAGACCTTGTCTGTTTACCCTATCCATGTTCCTCTCTGCGTCGAACCTCATCTGACATCTATCTGCTGCTTTGGCAAATGGTCAGTGCCCTTCTGGAGTTCTAGACTGCCCTCAGTTTACGATGCTTCCAAGTTTTGTTTTACCTGTATGCTCTAAAATTATCCCCTGTACATCAAGGTCCAGATCATTCAGTAAATCAGGAAGAGTAAGGGTCCCAGTACAGATACCTGGGAACTTCACAACAATCCTCCTCCAGCCTGAAAAAAAATCTACTGACTATTACTCTCTGCTTTAAAATACAAATTCCCTTTATAACCCCAATCAGCCCTAATCCTAAAGAAGTCTTTGGAATTCCTTTTTATGCTAGCTGTCTGCCTCTTTTCATCAGTATCATTGCTTCTCTTGTTTGCTTTTTCACCACCCTCCTGAACCTGGTGTGACAATACTATGGCTTTAAGAGGTGCATTTTGTCCTGGACGTTTAAATGAAGAAAGTTTGAGACAGAGGCGCTGAGCGGTCTGCTCAAAGCCTGGAAAGTGAACAGCTTATGAGGCCTTTAGTTTTTTTTAAAAGGTGGAACAATGGAAGCAGCCTGAATGGGTGGGGTCAAGCTCCTACTGAACCAGGAGCTTTAGTTTTCAGTTGTTGCTAGGGTCTCGAAGCTAGATGCGGAGACTCTTATTCCTCTCTTTCTGTCTTTCTTTCTGTCTTTCTGTCTTGCTTTCCTTCTGTCTCTGTCTCTATTTGCCTTTTCCAACAAGGTGTTTATGAGATGTTACTGTAGTGGAACAGTTAATTAGTGTAGTGATTATAACAAGGTCAGCCAGCTGGATCGCACAGAATAAGTTTTCTGATTGGGGCTGTTTATCTGGTTGACAGATATAAACAGGAGCGTCAGAGGTTCTGCTCACTTTGAGGAAGCATAATCAGTGTCAAAGGCTCTTCATGTGTAAAGAATGGGTGATTTGGTGCTAGTAGCTTCTGTGGAGTTATTTCAATTACTGGGTAGTTTATGTATATATTATTTTGTTAAGCATTTTGATAGAATTACAGTTAAGCCAGTTCTTTTATTTTGTCTGTATTTTAACTGTAAAAATAAAGTGTGTTTTACTTGAAGTTGAATAGTTTGGCCAATTGAATTGCATCGAGAATGCAATGCCTTACACTTGACCTAGGCACTTAACTTTTCTTATTTTAAAGTTATTGTCTTAATATATTTTTGAGCCTGTTTAGTCTGGTTCATAACAAATTGGGTGCTCTTGTTGGGATCAAAATCTCTAAGTCCAGTTTGGGTTTAGGATTATTAGAATCAAAGGCTGTGTGTGGTGAGTGTTGGTGTTGTGTTTTTTTTTTGGTGTTGAATTTGGTTGATTTAAATAGGGTGTGCCTTGTGTAGTAATGGATCTTTCAGTCACTAAGAAACTCCTGGGGGTGGAAGAAGCCACTTCAGGACTTTTACAGAAAGTTATCAAAGCAAAGCTTTTGGAAGTGATAGACAAGCTAGACTTGGGGTTGCCTTTGTCAGTGCAAAAAGGGGAGGTAATGTAGCAATAGATAGTCATTTATGAATGCTAGAAATGCCATTGGAATCATTAGAAATTGCTAAAATTCAGTTGGAATGTGAAAAGGAAGTGAAACATTTTGAATTACAACTGAAAGCAGAGGAGACAGTAAAGGAAAGGAAGGTCCTAGCAAAAGAAAGGGAGAAAGAGTTTTCCAACTTTGGAGGTTGGAACTGAAAACTCAGATGATTTAAAACGGTTGTATAGTTAATTACAAAGATGCTATTTGTCTGGTGATGTTTTAACAAGCATACAAGTAGGCTGTCACCACTTGCCAATGGGAAACTGAATCCATCTTTAACTCCATGCAATCTTGATGATAACTTATTTTAATTTTTTTTTGTTACGACACAGGGATAGCAAGCCAAACCAAATCAGCCTCCCATTCACTGTATTTGCAACAGTGAAATTAAAACATTCAATGACATTCACCCCTCAAAATTGCTCAGTTGTTCCTAACCAGACTTTACAAATAGCAGATCTTGTGCACCAGTTTATTATAAACAAAAATTAGCAATTTATTATTAATTATGTAACTTTATCAGATAAACCGAAAGACACCCTAACTGATATCTGTGATCTAAGTCCAGTCTTCTTTGAATATAAACCTTCACTGTCACACTGACAGACAGACACAGTAAAGGGATAAATCAGGCAAAAAAAATTAAAAATTGTTAATTGCCAGGTTGATAACTGTTTCAATGATGAATACTCGGCCTTCATGAAATCCTTGCTGATGGGTTGTATTGCAGGAACACCGGACATGCTTAAATTCTGAAGATACCAGTCAATGCAAACAGCTTCTGCAAGCCTCAGGGGACTTGCTTATTTCTTACAGAATGAGGATCTTTCTCTCCAGAACTTTTTTAACAAGTCGATAATTGGAGAACATGTAGAGAGAACAAAACCATAAACAGCTTCCCAGTCCAGCAGCTTCTAAAGCAAAAACAACATCTTGCCCAAACCCCAATCAGCGCCAGTATATTCTTTGTTATTCTCTCTCTTTTTTGACATACTGTGTAGTTGGCTGGTCAGGATCGGTCCTCCCTTGATTGGCCAATTCACTATCCAACCAACTGCTACTCCCTGGGCATCACAACATCGTTGTGCTGAAATGTCTACAGTATTCTTAGAGCAGTAATTAACCTACAATATCTTTCCAGGCGGGTTGCCAACAGCAAAAATCAGTCTGTTGTTAACATTAAAAAAAAGTTGTGTTCAAAGTTCAATTCTCATCCACAACTCCTAGTTCCAAACCAAAAATTAGCAAAATAAAAGAGAAATCGTGATGGTCTAAACAATAGAGAAGTTGCTACTTTGCCTCTTGCACAAGTGTTCCTGCCTGCTTTGTTTCCTGCTGCCAGTAGCAAGGCAAGGTTCTGGCTGTTGTGTCCATTTATATTTAATTTGAAGTTCCACCCCGTGTCTACAACCTGCATGAAAGTCTAATTGGTATATTCGATTTTATAAAATATAACTTTAAACGAGAGCATTTAATTTCCTTCAGTATATTTGTCAGATCCTTTTGACCAGAGTTATGCTAGTTGAAGTTAGGAGGAATTGCATTCTCCCTGCGCAGCCCCACCTTCCAGTTTTCTTCCCTTAATTCTGGAGGTCACCGGCTCATTTTGAAATGTGATTCCATGTGTGCTGCATCCCTGTATGGAAAGAGAATCAGCAAGCTGTTGAACCATGAAGTACGTCATTGAAAAGTGAAGGGGAATCCCCGACTAAGCTCAGTAGTGACCACTATGACCAAATACCTTAGCATCAATCGAAGGTGAAACCTTGAATTCTTTCTGGTTCAAGTCTACAAGGTGCAGTAATTTGCTAATTATCTGTTTTTTACAGGGCTATTTCATAAAGCTTTGCTAGTGCTAATTTGTATGTAGCTACTGCTATGACGCTTTCAGCAAAGAAAGAAAGGATGGAGGACCCTAAATTATTTTTTAAATTATTGCAGCTTGAAGAATGCAAACACTCTCATAAACTGGAAATTACAAACATCAAACTAGAAGCAGCAAGAGCCAAAGGGGAGGTTGAGAGAGAGAGAGATAACATGCAAAGTGAAATGAATGGTATGTTTACTAATTTCCTTTTAATTCAGAATGTTTTTTTTAAATGGACTTCATGATGGTAGTGATATGTATATTTTGCTCACTAGCATGTATCACATGGCTATTTTAAAAATACAAAATAAACTTCAGGGTGTTTGTGGTTTTGGGCACGAATGTAAAACCCTTGATGTTGGATCAAGGTCAGGAAAAGGAACAATTTAATGGAGAGAGAAGGAAGCTAAATTTACTATGTTGGACAGCAAGAATCCAGGGTTGGTCACTGAGGCAAAGCTGACCAATGGACCATAGGAACAGGAATAGGCCATTCAGCTTATCAGTCCCTACCCCATATGATCATGGATGATTGAATGTTTAATGTCTTTTACCCATCCCATCCCCATAACCCTGTGTGCCACTGGTAATCAGAAATCTATGTCAATTTTTACTTTAAACAGCCCTCTAGAGTGGAATTTCCAAAGGTTCACAGCCCTCTGAGTAAAACAAATTCTTATCTCAGACCGAAGTGGCATCCCCTTCATTTTTAAATTGTGCCACTGGTTCTAGACTGCCCATCCGGGGAAACATTTTACCTGCATCTAGCCCATCTACCCCTTTAATTATTTCTATTAATTTCAAAACTATTAATAGGACAGACCTGCCACACCAGAAATAAGTCTGGTGAACATTTATTGCATTCCCTCAGCAGTGTCAGGGCAAGTTGGCCATTATTATAAAGATATAACTAATCAGTCTTAATGATAGTTAGGATCTAGGACCAAGAACTCAGCTCAAGGTTGAAATGTTGACAAGTTTGCAGATGGTCTTTCAAATTTTGATAGGGACCAAGCATAAAGATACAATCATTGGCAAAGGATGGTGGAGAAGATTTGAGCCTTTCTAATTTTGGAGCTGGAGCAGGTTATGACTCATTCAATATTGGTGTTGACAAGACAGTTACTGATGTGGCAGAGAGATGTCATTATCACATCTGTTAAAGCTGATCCATTGTTTGTTCATGAAGTGACTGAGCGGACCAGAGAGAGTTCCTTGGGGAACTTTGACAATTACAGTGAAATTAAGGAAGTCCATGCTAATGATGAACTGGTTATTTTCAGACAGTTGGAACTGGAGTTATGCAATTGGTAATTTGAACCTGCACAACCTAAAGCTGCAAAGGAGCAAAATTGAGATGGCCAAGATTTTAATATGTTTGTTGAGCCTATTCATACAAATTCGAATTACTATCTTCCAAACAGGAGAGTGGGAGGGCGGGATGTACACCCACTAAGTAGCTCCGTTAGGTGTTTGACTGAATCTTCGAAAAATACCTGTTTTGGAATTGATTGTTCCCTTTGCAGGGTTGCAGTCAGATATTGAGATTCTCAAGGCCAATATTGTAAGACACAAAGAGCTCTTGACAGAAAAGGAGAGGGAACTAATTCGGAAAGTGCAGGCAGCTAAAGAAGACGATTTCCAGAAGCTTACAGCACTCCAAGATGAAAGGTGACCAATGTTCTGGAAATTTCTCATGCTCAGTTATGATACTGTTGGGCTTACCTCTGTATTTATCTAAAATATTATTTCAGCATAACGTGAACATGGCTGCTTATTAATTTTCTCACAATTTTCATAGAAAATATTAGTAATCTGTCATTCATGAATATGTGAGGTAATGCTGAATTATACTCTTTTCTATTGATGATAGCACTGTGAAAATATATCTGAATCCAGTGTGCTGAATCATAAATGGTCAGGTTTGTACTATGATAGCAAATATGTCAAATCCCTAATCTCTGTAACTCTAAGGGGAGGTGATGGCCTAATGGTATTATCGCTGGACTGTTAATCCAGAGACCCAGATAACATTCTGGGGATGTGGGTTCGAATCCCACCATGACAGATGGTGGAATTTGAATTCAATAAATATCTGGAATTAAGAATCTAGTGATGACTATGAATCCATTGCCGATTGTTGGGAAAAACCTATCTGGTTCACTAATGTCCCTTAAGGAAGGAAACTGCCATTCTTACCTGGTCTGGCCTACATGTGACTCCAGATCCACAGCAATGTGGCTGAATCTTAACAGCCCTCTGGGCAATTAGGGATGGGCAATAAATGCTGCCTAGCCAGCAACAGCCTCATCCTGTGAATGAGTTTTAAAAAAAAAAGTGCCAGCTACCCTTCACATGAGCAAGGTGGAACAATTTTTATTCATGAGATGTTGGCGTCCCTGGCTAGGCCAGCATTATTGCCCAGAGTCAAGTTAAGAGTCACCCACTTTGCTGTGGGTCTGAAGTCGCATGTAGGCCAGACCGGGTAAGGGTGGCAGTTTCCCCTTCCTAAAGGGCATTAATGAACTAGATGGGATTTTCCTGATAATTGACAATGGATTAATGTCATCACTAGACTCTTAATTCCAGATTGTTATTGAATTCAAGTTCCACCATCTGCCGTGGCAGGATTCAAATCTAGGTTCCCAGAACATTACCTGGGTCACTGGATTAACAGTCCAATGATAATACCACTAGGCAATTGCCTCCCCTGGCTGACTTGGGTTGTACTTGCTCATCCTCCTGCATGTTTGGTGGGGTCCAGGAGACTGTCATACTGTGTGTTTGGAGTGGGCAGAAAATATTGTGTTGTAAACAAAAATAAACTGCTTTCATTATTTTACTCATCCTCATAAATAAGTTATCGTTTGTAATTTTCCAAAAAGGAAGGGCGGAAAAGAATGGTGAACTTGGACAGGGATACATTCAATATTCAGTCCCATTCAGACCTATTCTACACTAATGAATGTGGTTCCACTTGTTTTGTGACCCCTCTCCTGTCTGTTGTCACCCTCAATGGTTTCTTATGGTTACTTACCTGATTTTCTCCATGTTGAAGAAAATTTAATTAAGTTGCTTACTTATTCAAAGGCTAGAACTAGAGAATAAGGTTGCTGACCTCGAAAGATTGAAGGCTGAGCAAGAGATAACCTGGCAAGCTGACAAAGAGCACATGGAAGAGAAGCTGCATGCTTTACAGTTAGCAGAGGAGGCATCCAAGAGGGAGATCCAGAACCTCAGGTTAGCACTAAAGCACTAAACCATGCAGCACTGGTATATAATTTAAATGATATTTTTGAGAGTTTGAATTTGGAATTTGTATCTTAAATTCATGTGAAGGTGTTGTGTCTGTTTTCTTAAAAAATTTAATAAAAATATTCTTGCTACTTCCCAGGTGAAAACTATTTGCAAGATCTTTTTCTGAAGTTTTTTTTTGAGGATATGTCAAGGCTGTGTATTGACTGATCTTCCCCACTTTAATCACTTGGCATCTAACAGTCCCATTATCCTATGTATTAGCCCTGGAAAGGATCGTCTTTTCCAACTTTGAGAGTTTCTCTATTTCTCGTCTGAGCTTCAAGAGAAATTGTCTACTTCTGTTGACTTGTAGTTTTGCGTAGCGTGGTGTGCCTATCTGACTGTGAAATATCTTTAAATCAGCAGCAGAGAAAGAAGGGTCACCAGATCTGAAATGTTGACTCTGTTCACACCACAGATAGTGTTTAGACCTGCTGCGTTTCTCCAGCAGTTTCTGTTTTTGTGTGTTTGAGACTTCCACATAGCTAAGTTTGAACCTAGCACCAGTGCATAATAGGACAGCAGTTTTCATTTTGGAAACTGTATCTGAAGAACCAGTAACTTCTAAGTATTTGCCAGTTTGTTATAGTTTTGCAAAGATTCGTAAATGGCCAACTCTGAATATGGGGCCTTTCCATTTTTGTCAACATGAAATGTTGTCTATTTTAGCCACGTCCAATAAATTTGAGAAGAGAAGCAGGGACTGTATCTTTGCATTTTAGGTAGTGGAGGATGATCACTGTTGGTGTTTTATGTGGTAGAGACAGGTGCTAAATCAGCAGTCCAGCATAAAACCTTATAGCTGTGTCTTTTAGAATGCAGGTAACAAAGGTGAGGGTCATGCAAGGATGAAAGACAATTGAAGTTTCTCTGGTGTATCAAAGGCAAAGGTGAGAATGATTGAACAGATTGGTAGTTGCAGAGATATTATGGTGACAGCAGGACCATAGGCTGGACATTATTAGTGATTTGGTGGAGTGTGTTTCTTCAGGTGGATGGACACAGTTGTTTGAAGGCCATTGGCGATGTAGTGGAGAGAGAAGCGAACAAAAGCAATTTGATCTATGATTGTTACAATGAGAATACCACGACCATGTGAAATGACAAACTCAAGGGGCTTGTCTATAGTAAATATTGTTGTTGATTTGCTACTTTGTGTTGTAGGTCTAAGCTTCAGCAGCAAGTGCTTCAAACTGAAGAACTTGAAAAAGAAAAGAATGACAATGCTGAGTTAAGACAGGTACCTTTCCAAATTACATTAAGATCTGCTTGCTTTGGTTACATTACTCAAGGGACTTAACCAAAATGGAAAGTTATTTAATGTGAGGAATATTGCTGTTGCCACATATTTTACCTTCCATTCCTTTCTAAATCTGTGGATTTATAACAATATTAATGCAGAATCTGATATTGGAATTCTTGTTCACTCGTCTATGGCTGCTGAAAGCTTGAGAAATCACTTGTGCTAATATAAGTTATGAGAGAGGAAAAAGAAAGTAAGGCCATAAGATGTAGGAGCCGAATTAGACCATTCAGCTTATTGAGTCTGCTCCGCTATTCGATCACGGCTGATATATTTCACAAGCATAGTAAATAAAATGAAGACCATAAGAAGGTTGGTCATGATATTATTAAATGAGAGAATGGTATTGTGGAACTGAATGGTCTAATCCTGCTTCTGATAGTTTTAGGATGACTGCACCTGCTCTATTGCAGTATATTGTCCTGCTAAACATTGCAACCATTAACCCAGGCCAGTGACCAGCTCCTCTCTGCAGTGAGAATAAAATCAATGAGTTAATGACTTTCTCTCCTAGTCACATTGACCCAGAAGCACCACCCACTTTCTGTTGAACGGGGCTTCAACTGCACCACCCCGAGCTCCATTCTTCCACTCCTGCCCCCACTGACCAGCTCCATTCTTCCTCTTCCATTGCGACCCCCACCCCCATGGACACACACGCACGCGGGCACAGACACCCACACACAGGCGGGCACGGGCACGGACATGGACATGGACATGGACAGGGACACGCGCACGGACACGGACCCACGTGCGTACGGACGCATGCGGACACACAGGCGGACACGGACACACACGCAGACACGCAGACGCACGTGGACGCAGACACAGATACCCTCCAAGCTCTCCTCTCCCTCTCCCTCTCCCACTGCCTGCTCCACTCATCCCCTCCCTCTCTCACTTCCTCCAGCTCCATTCCTCTATTCTCCCTTCTCTTCAACTCCATTCCTGTCCTCTGCTGGTCAGAAGTGGTTCTAGCACTAACTAATTTTGAACAGTCAGCCACTTCTCAATTACAATGATGCATATATCCCATGGCGATTCAATTAGTCTTGGAACTTTTTGTGCATTTGATTTTTTGAGATTTCTATAGAAAAATTATTTGTAACATGTTGCTTTTTTGGTGCAATGTCCATTAGTTGTGAAGTAATAGCATTTTGCTGACAGAGAAGTTGAACTGTTAATACAAATTTTAAAGAGAGTAAGTTGAATTTAAAATTAAGTTTCATTTCAAGTGTTACTGAATTATTCGACTTTTCTTTCTGCCCACCAAAGCAAAATAATGAAATGCAAATGCAAATGAACGCTCTATCGCAATCAGAGAATGACTTACTGAATAACAACAGCAAAATGCGGGAAATGTTGGAGCGTTTAAAAGAGGAAATACGAAATGCAAGAAGCCAAGCTGAACGGGCACAGCACGAAGCTGAAAAGTAAGCAGCTGTTTTTATGACATAACATCCTGCTACTAAAGTTATTCTATTAGTTCCCATATTGATTTTTATTTTCTCTATGTTGTGTTCTGAACGTGGAATTGAATACTTATAGAAGTAAAATCTGTTTAATTTCATTGTTGACACATTGCCAGGTGTGGTGGTAAACAACAATGGTAACAATGGTGGTGTTCTCTTAACTGTAACTAGATTACATCATTAGCCTCAGCAGAGACTACAACAATTTGGATTAAGATACCAGATGCAGATTCCTTAATGTATATCTTTTAATTGTCCAGAATATTTCAGCAATAAGAATCACACTGCTCAAATAGATTAATATGTAATTTCCTGACTGCGTTATTTACTTTTCCCAAACTTTATTTTGTTTCAAAATCTTTGAAGGGATATTTTAAACCATTAAGATTTTTAAGAAAGAATGCTTTGGAGAAAGTACATAGCAACTGCATCATGTTTGGTAACTTGGGATTTCAAAGGGTCAAGAAAGTTATCCTTGCCTTTATAGTACAGATTTAATTCTATTATTGTATCATATGTATGAATATCAGTCACTGAACTAACATGGTAAGGAGAGTCCGTAAGAATGAAAAGTTCTTTGCATCAAGTCTTAACATTTTCTTTTAAAGCGTCTGACTTTCTACCCCTTACTTTCTATCTTTTACCATTAAGCTAGGGCTCCACATTTTTCTGGCAGGAGATTTTGATCATGGCTCCTTCAGAAATGTGGTGTGTACCTTAAATACAACTTTGTTCTCATAATGCAGGATGGTCATGTGAGGCAAACCATGCCCCCTTTTCCATGACAGTAGTTGCCCTTTTCTGAGGTTTAAATGTCAGCAACACAGACAGTCACTTTGATAACTCCTATGAAAGTATGGGATAGGATACTGAGGCCCAAGGTTGCCATGTAAGTAATTGAGTGGGGAGAAGAGCAGTAGTGTCAAGTCATGGGGAAATGTGTGGGTGGTTTGGGGTGTTGGGGTGTATAAGGGATCTGCAGTAGGTGTAGATGGGCTATATGTCAGGAAAGTTGGGGAGTCAGTTTAATAATTCCTCAGGAGTTTGGCTCGCTTTTCAATTGTCTAACTATTTTTCAGTAACTAGTGGCTACAACTGGACCCTCCAAGTTCCCTGACTTAGATGGATACTTCCCTTTTCTTTGTAGAATTGCCAACAGTTCTGCTTTTAAAAAGAGTTCAGAAAGCAGTATTGGTTGTCACTTCTTTTGCACTGCCATTCAGCTGTAAAATCTATTCAGTGGTTCAGAAGGATCTGAGTTAAATATTTTGGAGTCCTTTCAATACTTTTACACACAAAGATTGTACTAAGACTGTGTCAGCCTAACAAGATAAGCTAGATCAGTGAGATTGCAGTTTATCTTTGGTTTTAGATAACCACAAACAGCTAACCAGCAAGAAAGCTTGATTTTTAGCCACTGGCAATGGGTTCTTTTCTAAACCACCACAGTAAGCTGTCCTTATGGTTTTAGTCTTTACTAACTCTATATATTACTAATTGAAAACGTTACTTTGACAATATGCGTCAAGGCAGGTATTTATAATGGAAGGAAATAATTATAATAATAAATGTATAACTTGTAATAATTAAAAGTGCGATGACTATGAACATTACACAAGATACTTCAAATAATTTTTTTAAAATTCACTTGTGGGATGTGGGCATTGTTGGCTGGCCAGCATTTATTGCCCACACCAGCTCCCTTAAACTGAGTGGCTTGTTTGGCCATTTCCAAGGGCAGTCGAAAGTCATAGAATCATAGACTCCCTACAGTGTGGAAGCAAGCCATTTACTCCATCAAATCCATACCACCCATCCAAAGAACATCCTACCCAGACCCAACCCCCCCTACACTATCCCTGTAACCCTGTGATTCTTGTGGTTAATCCACCTAGCCTGCACATCTCTGAACACTGTGGGCAATTTCCCATGGCCAGTCCACCTGACCACAACTTTGGACTGTGGGAGGAAACTGGAGCACCCAGAGGAAACCCACACAGACATGGGGAGAATGTGCAAACTCCACTCAGACAGTTGTCCAAGGCTGGAATCAAACCCGGCTCCCTGTGGGTCTGGACTCACGTGTAGGCCAGACCAGGCAAAGATGCTGATTTTCTTTCCTAAAGGACGTCAGTGAGCTAGCTGGATTTTTCCAACAATTGACTGTAGTTTCATGGTTATTGGTAGATTCTAATATTCAGATTATCTTTTATTGATTTCAGATTCCACCATTTGCCATGTGGGATTCAAACCCAGCTCCCCAGAACATAAACTGAGTTTCTGGATTAATAGTCTAGCGATAATACCACCAGGCCATTGCCTTACCTGCACGTTTTACTTTTGGATGAGTCACTGATTAGGCCTTGTCGGCCAGGTTACGTTGATGTGAAACATTTCCGGCATTATTCTGTAGAAGAGCAGTTTGTTTTCCTGGTGTCCTGGCTGATACTTATCTCTCAATCAATGTCTCAAACGCTGCTTTTTCCAGGCATTATCTGTACTGTTTGTAAATGATTGCTGTGTGTAAACTGGCTGCTGCATTCCCTATTATGTTGCAGTGACTAAATGTTCTTCATTGGCTGGAAATTGCTTTGGGGCACCTTGTGATTAAGAACGGCATTCTATAAATGCAACTTATTTTACTGACAAAACAATGGTGAAAAATTTCCAGCTTATCTCGAGGTTTAAAACTTTGCTTTGTAAAGTTTTGTCCGATATATTACGTCCCTCCAGTACAGTAAGATCATCTGTTATATTTTACACAGGCTGGTGGAAGAGAAGCGTGTAGAGTGGATGGAAGAGAAACACAAGTTGCAGAATCGCAATACAGAGCTGGAGGAAAAATACTGCCAGGCCAAAGACCGACTGCAGCGCGCCGCTTTAGCTCAAAAGAAGGTCTTGCCCTCGCCTTTAATCAGCCAAAATTTTAATTTGTCTGCAATCCAACCTTGCCACCAAAATTCTGTATCTTCTGCTTCTGTTTTATAGAGGAAAACACTGAATGAAAGTAAGCAGAAAAGATTGCAGGAAAAAGTCCAGATGCTGGAGGCAAAGAAAGAAGAGCTGGAAATTGAGAAACATGCATACAAGTGAGTGTTTTTCACTGATGCTTTCCATCCAAGTTCAGCAAAGAAATTCCACTGTGATGTAAGAGCAGGGGAGGTACTTGAACCCAATGGAAGTTAGACAGAAATTAGTTATTTTGCTGGATGAGTAGGGAAGAGAGACTAAAGCCTTTCGGATGTAGTTAAGTCAGATGATTGGACAGGAGAAAGGAGAAACCAAACAATCACGGAATGGATTTTGTTTGTTCCTAATATTAATATTAAAATTATGGATTTCTCCCATGTAGAATTGGAGTTAATGAAGAAGGATGTGAGGAAGAAGGTTTGTGTCACCGAGGTGGGGTACACATGAACTGTTCAGATTTGATCATGCAGCAGGGAGTTTGTAGTATCTAAAGTGGTCAAGTCAGGTCTTGGTTGGAGAGGCAGATTGTTTGGATGGCAGGTATCCTGTAGTCTGTGTCCCACTGTGGAAGTAGCTGCTGTACAGGAATATAATCATCTGGCGGAGACAGTGCTCTGATAGCAGAGGCAAGATCATTACTGAGATGAACAGGATTATAAGTGTAGCTGACAGATCAGAAGAACAAGAATTAGAAAATGAAGAAAGTAAAGGTAATGGGATTGAAGCTAGTGTTCCATACAGGCAGATTGAGAATATAATACTTAGGGAGAGATTGCAAACCTCTGGTAGGTCACCACATCCCAAACACTTTAAATAGTTCAGAATGAGACACAACCCCGAAATTCTTCCTCAACTCCCGAATGCAATTGAAATAAACTGCGAAATTGAAACAATGCAATAATACTGTCACAATGGGTTAATACATCTATCAGCATTTATGCTTTTTCTCGGCAAACTTTTTTTTCTTTGGGTGTCTGCATGACTATTGCAATTCCACAGATGTGGAAGGGACATGGAAGCTGTCATCTGCTGAACACCGCTGTTCAACCTTTGAATTATCAATTCTTTGTTCCAGACAAAATGTTCCCTATGAAAGCCACGCAAGACTTCAAAAAAGATTAAAGGATTTACAGCGTAGACATAATGAATTCCGAAGACTGTTTTTGGGGCCAAATTTTTCGAGTACTGGCCTGTGTAATTCAACCAATTTTCTACCGTCCACCTTCATGCAAGGCACAGAAGCAACGTGTATGAATGTTCAGGTACCTAACTTTAGTGGAGCTCATGAATGGTTGCAATTGACTAAAAATTGTCAGTTGTAATTTTGTGTATAATTCATTTTAACATCTAAATCATGCAAAGTTATTGATATGCAATATCCAATCATTTATACATTTTCTTCATTAATTATCTTCTTATTCTATTTCCCAACCAGATGAGATTTGGAAAGATTAAGGTTTGCTGATCTCTAGAAGTCATTCTCCAGTGCAAAATACATTTTATGATGTATGGTTGTTGCAGTCTCTTTATTGCCTTTATGAATCACATTGTCAACTCAAATTCTTTGTTCACAAAAGAAATATTTGCAGGACTTTGGGAAAACAGCAGTGAAGTGGCACAAGTAGATCTTCAAAAAGCCAACACCAAAACAATGTACTAAATGTCTAGCTACTGTACTGAGTGATTCTATTAGAGGACATCTTGTGTTAAAAGCTCAGGGTAAACATATACACTAATTTACTGTACGCACTAATAGCTTACATCTCTGTTCCTTCCTTTTGATACTAAGGCTTCAGATTCCCAACATCTGTTCCAATTTAAGCAATTGAGCGAACATTTTTTCTTTTCAGCAGTGTCAAATCTATTCTTCCCAGCTGCCAGTTGCCTCTGACTTTCAGTCCAACAAAAATTTCCTTCACTGCCATTTGAGGCTAAATCCACAGGCACTGGATCTTAAATATTTTTCAGCCATGAACTTTTGAGCATCCTGCCCGTAACCAAGACTACTTCCCTCTGTCTCTCAAGACAGTGCCTTGCATTTAGTCCCTGTCTCGCTCCCATTGTTGCAGAGGCTCTAATTTGAATCCTGTGGTTTTGGAGCTCAGTATCTTCCTGCCATTTTTCTCGACTACACTCTGCATGCATTGTAATTCATTCAGAAAACTGTTTCACACATCCTCACCAGCATTGCAATCACCACCATCTTTGGCAACTTCCACTTGCTCCCCTTTCCCCAATAATTTGAATGAGATTGTCCATATTTTCATATCTCCCCATAGTCTCAATATCCATCCTCACTTAGTGATCTCCAGCCAAATGTCAGCTTTCTGCTTCCCCAATATCAGTTCAATCCATGTGTCCCAGTCCGTCATTAGAACTACTGTTAAGTACTCCTTCAATCTCTATGCAGTGATCTGTTTGGAGATTCACATCTCTCTTAACTGGAGTGATTTCTGGAGTCGGGTCTGGTGAGAGTTGCACTGTGAGGAGAGATTGAGAAGAATAGGTCTATATTTTCTAGAGTTCAGAAGAATAATTAGCAACTCATTTAAATGTGTAAAAGAGGGCTGGACAGGATAGATGCTGACACTGTTTTCCTTGGTTGGAGAGCCTAATGCCAAGAGTCATAGTATCAAGTAGAGAAACTAACCATTTAGATGAAGGTAAAGATGAGTCAGTTAATGAGCATTTTCAAGGTTTGTGGATTTTTGGGCTGTAAGAGAATTGAGGGATAAGTGGGTACGGCAACATTACTATGGAAGCTCAGCCATGTGGTTACTGAATAAGCTTGATGGGCTGTATGGCCTACTCCTATTCCTGTTCTTATATTCTTGTATCTGCCTTGCCATTTCCTGCTCCTTATGAAACAAATAGTTATCTTTAACAAGGCTTTTGGTTTCCCTTTCAGTTTCCCTGTTAGAGTGGGAGCATGGCTGTTGGCCCTTGATTAGAGCTCCACAGCAGTTATTACTGCCTCGGAGCTTCGGACCCTAATATTTCAAACTGGTTAAAATCGAAAGACCCGCGGATGTTGTAAGTCAGGACCAAAAACATAAATTGCTGGAAAAGCTCAGCAGGTCTAACAGCATCTACAGAGAGAAATCAGAGTTAGCGTTTTGGGTCCAGTGATGCTTCAATCAATCATAGAATCCCTACAGTATGGAAACAGGCCCTTTGGCCCAACAAGTCCAACCAAACCTCAGAGCAACCCACTCAGACCCATCCCCCTGCAAACCACCTAATCTACACATCCCTGAACACTACGGGCAATTTAGCATGGCCAATCCACCTAGCCTGCACATCTTTGGACTGTGGGAGGAAACTGGAGCACTCAGAGGAAACACACGCAGACATGGGGAGAATGTGCAAACTCCACACAGACAGTCGCCCAAGGGTGGAATCAAACCTGGGTCCCTGGCGCTGTGAGGCAGCAGTGCTAACCACTCAGCCACCGTACCACCTGAAGAGTCACTTGACCCGAAACATTTACTGTGATTTCAGTTGGTGACTCTCTTCAAATCCTGACTCCCACCCTCAGCTTTGGGAGCCCTGGTCTGGGATTGAGTTAATAATCCCAAGGGATAAGGGGTAGGTAAATGAGAAATGTATTCATTCAGGTATCCCAAACCCATCACAGGGTATTTTACTCTCCAGAGAGCTGTTGGTGTTCAGTTGTGTATTTAAGGCTGAAGTCAATAAATATTTGAGTTCCAAGGCAATTGAGGGTAATTGGGATAGAATGAGTGAGGCTGAGGATCAGCCCGGAGGCCTGAATGGCCAGCTCCTGGTCCTATTTCATATAGGGAAGTTATGTTCCCAAAATGTATAAGGAATTGTTTAGAGAAGTCACCTGAGCACCAAAAGGTAGATATTTCCTCTTTACAGTTCCTCACTGTCTGAGCAACTAATACAATAGAAACTGTACTCACCAGCCTGCTGCCTGTTGGAACTGATCATTCTCAGTGACTAATATGGAAACACTCTATTTAAATACTCATGTTGAAAATTTGGTTTAAAACAAGTTGACACTTTCTTTGGTTTGTACAGTAAAAGCATATTTCATTAGATTTGTTTCTTTACATTAATTCAAGCATAATGGAATAAGTTTATGGGGTCTTGATTTTTATCCTGGGTTTTGCTGGTTAAAATAAACTGAATTTTGAGTGGTAAAGGAGTCTTGACGGGCTGAATGGGCCCAAATTCTGCTCTTGTGTCTTATAGAAAATAACTCTAAGGATAGAGGCCACCTTTACATGATGTAGAAAGGTGATGGTTCTGTTGCTTATAGGAAGAGTAGTGGGCCATTCAGCTCCTCAGTGGAGGCAAAGCAGGCATCCCTGAAATCTCGGTTGTCTGAGGAACCTGCCCTGTTATGTAACATTACAGACTGACAGTTGGTCAAAGGTGGGGCTGTGATGGTGTCATTTGACATTTCTTGGATTAGGTGCCTTTAAATATTATAATGAGCTGATGGTTTAGAATGTTATTGAAAGAGAATAAAACTGATTATAGAAGTATCACCTTTTGAAAGTGTTAAGCAGTGTTTTATAATTGTACACCTCTTCAACATTGCCTTGACCTTTCTCTCTTCAAGGAAGAACAACATCAAAGAGAGCTGGGTCTGCTCCGCAAGCGATTGGAGGAACTGGAGACTAATCAGAAACAGCAGTTACAAGAACTTGGTGCTCTCAATTGATCAATGTTTACAGAGCTGTGAGACTTCCAGTATCTTTGGATTCATTCTGCTCTTGTTTGACTTGAAATCATTTGTCTGGTGCTAGCAACTAGTTGCAGTTTTGAATTTGGAGCTAATTGTTTACAGGTTGAACACACCATATGAAACAGATTTACATGAAGCTGCAGAGTATCTCAAGTCTTTACAATCAATTCTTGTGCCTTGATATAAATTCTAATCTGAGAGCCCAGTGTGTTGATTGATGAACTACATTATTTCACAATTTACAGTCATTCTTTTCCGTATTTTCACCTGGTGAGCGAGATTTAATAAGGATTTTATGAAGGAGCATTCTTCTGTCTTTGCAACTCTGCACTTGTAGAAGTCTGAAGAAAGATTAAACTGTGTTGGGAAGTCTGTAAGATGCTGCAGAAAAGCTGTTTTTCTCAACGTATGCGGCACTGAAAATATACAGGTGGAATATTACAGATACTTCCCTCTGCCTCCAGTTATTTTGCTTCCTTAATCACTACATTTTGCCAAACTTAGAGGTTAGTTAGACAATTTCTACTCAACTTTCTAGCCTGTGTAATAAGATACTGTGCAAATATAGTCCCTGATAGCTCAATTACTTAACATTTGTTTTGGGTGTTTCCAGTGTGAAAAAAGAAAGGGAGCACGTTAGAAAGCTGCTCCTTTTCCAAAGCGCTGATGATCACCATTCAAGTCAGATGCAATTCAGTCATACTAATGGAACCAGGAACACTCCCTCTCCCTACGAGAACCTGTTGACATTGACCATGGAAACATCTATTGAACCAAAGATGGATGGAGTTTTATACTAAACTTAAAACAAAAATCTGCAGATACTGAAGACCTGAAACAAAAACAGAAATTGATGGGGAATCTCAGCTGGCCTGGCAGCATCCATGGAGAAGAAACAGAGTCAACATTTCAAATCCAGTGACCTTGGATCCAGTTCTGATTAAGGATCACTGGACTCAGTGTCAACTCTGCTTTCTGTCCACAGATGCTGCCAGACCTGCTGAGCTTCTCCAACAATATCTGTTTTTGTTATAGAAAGAGTTTTATTGGTTAGGGTATCAAAGGAAACCACATTACGATTAGTAAATGGCGATTAGGTACAGATGAACTATGATCTTGATTGAATGGTGGCATGGAGGCAAGGCAATGAATGGCCTCCTCCTAGCTATTTCGTTCTTTAGTGCCTTTTCTAAGAAAAGTTGGGATTTTGTCTCAAGTTGCCTGTTCTCGGAACAGAAAATCTCTCACTCAAAGTATCAATTTACTTTCTCTTCTAGGATAAAGAGGTGACTTGCCTTCAATTACAGAATCCTGCCCTTTTTAACCAGCTTTACTGACGTGAGTCGTGTTTGTGTTTTCTCTGCTTAATCTAAAGTTTGAAAACAGCCTTTTAAATTACACTTGGAGGAATAAAAGAAGATTATACACAAACACAAAATGCTGCTGAGGTTTTAAAATTCCCAAATCTAACACATTGGGAATTAGATGTGGTGGAGGGAAATTAAAAGGGAGAAAAGTGAGATTTTAAGTGGAATAAAACTCGTTCATTTCCAAGTTTCTTTGTGCTACCTTGAAGCAAAACAACGCCATTCATGGCTACATCCGGTGTTCCTGCACAGCATGGGGAAATCTAACACCAGATAACAAAATATATGAACCCGCAGTGACAGGCTTTCCTGTGAATGTGGCATGACAGGAAATTGAAGCCCAACTGTCTAGCAGCATTCAACAGCACATTGTTTTGCTTAGTTTATTTCTCCTTTCTGCATTTTATAAAAACCAAGTATATATGTCAATTATATATTGAGTCTTTTAGAATTTCTACAGAAGACCAGACATAGTTTTACTCTAAAAAACATTATGTTTGCAAATGCACAAATGTTCTCTATTTGACTGTGGTGATGTGTTTGTTCAGAAGTTTACAGCTTTATTTATTTTTCTACAGCTACTGAATTGTGTCATGGTGTGTCTGTAAATAATTGCATTAATTAAGCTGTAAGTTCATACATTAGGGCCTGTGTTCTGTGTTTAGTAAGTATTGGCACACAGTGCGAAAAGCCCATGTCAAGAACAGCAGCAAGAGTGGTAATGAGTTGTGAAATTTTATTTGCATTTTTATACATAATTATTCCAAATGTGACATTTTACAAAATATTTCTAATTTATTTTAAATTTGCATCAAAAAATTTTCAACATGTTTGTTACTCATGATTTTGTTTCAAAGTTTTTTAAATACATGATTTTTCTATTGCTACAACTGTTTTGTACAATTCAGATATTTAATTAATTGTCATAACTTTGGGGAAAAAAATCACTTGCCACTGATGTTGTAATACTTTTCAAATAAACACTTTGCATGAAGTGTGTATTATGCATTTTTTTTAAAATTCACTTGTGGGGCATGGGCATGGCTGGCTAAGCCAGCATTTATTACCCGGCCCTAGTTGCCCCTTGAGAAGGTGGTGGGGAGCTGCCTTCTTGAACCGCTGCAGTCCATGTGCTGTGGGTTGACCCACAATGCCATTAGGGAGGGAATTCCAGCATTTTGACCCAGCGACAGTGAAGGAACAGTGATCTACTTCCAAGTCAGGATGGTGAGTGGCTCGGAGGAGAGCTTGCAGGTGGTGGTGTTCCCACGTATTTATTGCCCTAGTCTATCTAGATAGAATTGGTTGTGCACTTGGAAAGTGCTGCATAAGGATCTTTGTCGAATTTCTGAAGTGCATCTTGTAGATAGTACATACACACTGCTGCTACTGAGCGTCACTGGTGGAGGAAAAGGATGTTTGTGGATGTGATGACAGTCAAGCGGGCCGCTTTGTCCTGGATGGTGCCAATCTTCTTGAGAGTTGTTGGAGCTGCACCCATCCAGGCAAGTGGGGAATATTCCATCGCACTCCTGGTTTGTGTCCTAAGATTGTGGGCAAGGAGTCAGGAGGTGATTTACCCTCAGCAGTATTCCTAGCCTCTGACCTGCTCTTGTTGCCACTGTGGTGGGTCCAGTTCAGCTTCTGGTCAGTGGGAACCCCTAAGTTGTTGTTAGTGGGTGATTCAGTAGTGATAATACCATTAAACGTCAAGGGGTGGTAGTTTGTCTCTTATTGAAGGTGGTCATTGCCTAGCATTTGTGTGGCAAAAATGTTACTTGGCAGTTTTCAGCCCAAGCATGAATATTGTCCAGGTCTTGTTGCGTTTGGACATGGACTGCTTCTGAGGAGTTGTGAATAATGCTGAACACTGTGCAATCATTGGTAAACACCCCCACTTCTGACTTTATGATGGAGGGCAAGGCATGTGTATGTATAACTGGAATCAAAGTTACATTAGAAAGGTACACTGCATCTGATTATGGAAAAAGCCATCTTTGAAGGCAGAATACAGGCTGGATAATGTAGCGAGTGTGTGTGGCTGAAATGTTAAATACCACTTTAGACTATTAACCCTGACTAGCGGGCAGACTGCCACAGAGAAATCAGGTTGACAATACATCTATTCACTTAGTTTGAATTTGAGACAGAGGTTTGAGGACCAGATGTCCAGCTCACCCATTTCCTGTTGGGTGGTTTTTGTGACCAGGTTTAGGTGTCTTAATCAATGCAACCACAGTACTATTCCTTTTACATCTGACACCATCATGTATGCATCAAATATTGATTTGTCCACTGATGACAATACTGTATGCAGCACAGTCAATGTGTAAGTTAGAATGATTGTAAACAAGATGCAAGTCAGGGCGCATAAACTGCATGAATGTTTCTGTGTTGATAATAAATGTGGGCTTGTTTAGTGTTAAATTTCCTGGTGAACTCCCTATAGCACCATCGCTATTCCCAGCAGTAGTCACTGCCTCCACAAGTTCCACTGACATGACTAAGAATCAGTGTTTTCGCAGGGAATGATTTTTTCTCCTGGAGTGTCAGAGGCTGACGGGTGACCTTATAGAGGTTTATGAAATCATGAGGGGTATGGATATAGGATAAATAGTCTTTTTCTCAGGATGGAGAGTCCAAAACTGGAGGGTTTAAGGTGAGCGGGGGAAGATTTAAAAAGAACCCAAGGGGCAACTTTTTCACACAGAGGCTGGTGCGTGTGTGGAAAGAGCTGCCAGAGGAAGTGGTGGAGGCGGGTACAATTACAACATATAAAAGATATTTGCATGGTACATGAATAGGAAAAGTTTAGAGGGATATGAGCCAAATGCTAGCAAATGGGACTAGGTCAGATTGGGATATCTGGTCAGCTCGGATGAGTTGGACCGAAGGATCTGTTTCCATGCTATAAGACTTTATAATCTGAGGTAGGCTGGGAACGTTTCTGGTCCTAGAAGTAACAGCCTTTGGCACTTTAATGAGTTTGCATGACATACAGGAAGAAATGATCTGATCAGGAGAGCAATTATCTTTCAGGATGGCTTTAATACACCTCAGTTCAACACCAAGCACAGTGAACAAATGGCTCTGGGCCCTAATTACGAGGGTACCAATAAGGCTAATCCTAAAGCACAATTTAGGTGTTGATCAGTGAAGGTGGTTCACTGTTTGTGTCTTTTGATGAGTATAGCTGCGTATTGCTGTTCAGAATCTCAAAATTGTTATGGTGCCATTTGGCCCATTATGGCTGCACTGTCGGTTTGATGGATTTCCAAAAGGCATTTCATGAAATAGACTTGTGTAGGCAAAGTTAGAGCTCTAGCAATAGTAATTATGGCAACTTGGATGCTTGAGCAAGTGATAGGACATGATGAACAGCTGTTTTTCAGAATGATGGCAACATACAAACGTAACTGCTAGGATCCCCTGCTTTTCTTCATATATATTGATGACATTGTGCCCATTATATCAAAACCCTTTTCAGAATTCATAAAGAATACACACTTGGATGTATTATGGACCATGAGGAGGATGATGTAGAACTCCAAAAATACAGTGATAGGTTAGTGCAATGAGTAGACAAGTCACAAATGAAATGTAATGCGGAGAGGGGTGAAATAATCCATTTTAATAGAACTCCAAAATGTAGTGAAATAAAAGGCACAATGCTAAAGGGGCGCAGAAGCAGAGAGATCTTGGATATATTGCATAAATCATTGAAGGCAGCAGGACATGTCAAGAAAGTGCTTAATGAAGTGTACGGTGTTCTTGGCTTTATTAATAGGAGCATAGAGTATGAGAGCAAGGGGAAATAAAAACTGCTTTATCTTCAGTTCTGGATAGAACACTTAGAAACAATGTGAAAGTATTAGAGTTTGCAAAAAAAGATTCTCAAAAGCATTTCCAGCAATGAGGAACTTCCATTTGATGGAGGTATCATGTCATGTCTGGATGAAGTAGATGGGGAGAAAAGTTCTCTGATGAAAGGATCAACTGGACAGCATTCAAGGTAATTGGTAAAAGAGGCAATGGTAGTATGGGAAAAGTTTTCACGCAGTAAATGGGTGGTATCTGGAATGCGCTGTATGAAAGTGTGAGGGAGACAGGTTCAATTCATTTAAAATAGAATTAACTGGGAAAGGAATAATTTGCACAACTATATGTTGTAAAGGTGAGGAATAGCATGGAATGATTGCAGGAAAAACTTTTTTAGGAGTAACAAATTAGACTGGATAGAAGATTGGCTGACTGGCAGAAAATCGATTATTCATAAATATGGCTTTTTCTGATTGACAAGTGAAATCCTACAGGGGGCTGCTGTAGGGGCTTCAATGTGTTGCAATTCACATCAATGAGAGATAAGATGTGCAGAGGCTTGGTAGCAATTCACAGAAAAAGCTAAGATAGGAAGGAAGGAAAGTGTGTTGAAGAAGACATGAGGTTGTAGACAGATATAGATAAATTGAATGAGCAAAAATCTGGCAGATTGGGTATAATGTGGGAAAATGAGAAGTTGTTCATTTTAGCAAGAAGAATGAAAAAGCAGAGTATTACTTAAATGGTGCACGGGTGCGGAATTCTGAAGTGCAGAGAAAATTGGGTGTTCTAGTGCATGAGTCACAAAGGGTTAGTATATAGGTGCAGCATCGAATCAGGAATGCTAATGGAATGCTACCTTTTGTCACAAAAGGAATTGAATATATAAGTAAGGATTCAGTTATACAAGGCATTGGTGAGTCCACATCTCAAATATTATGTGTAGTTTTGGCCTCCTTAATAAGGAAGGAAGTAAGCGTGGTGCAGATGGTTCAGAAGAGGTTTATTAGATTGATACCTGAAATGAGTGGGTTGTCTTATGAGGAAGAGTTGGACAGACTGAGCTTGTTTCCATTGGAGATTGGAAGAATGACTTGATTGAAGTTTACAAGATTCTGAATGGTCTTGATGAGGTGGACGTGGAAGGGATGCTGTAGATGAGTCCAGAGCAGGGCAGTCTATCTGAAAATGAGAGTCACTCTTTCAGGACAAAGATGAGGAGAACTATTTTCTTTCAGTGAGTTGTACAACTTTGGAATAGAAGGCATTGAAGTTGGAGTAATTGAGAGGTCGATAGATTCCTGTTAGGCAGGAGAATCAAGGGGTATTGGAGGTACATGGGAATGTGGAAGTCAAAACGCAGTTCTGGAGCTCTGTTCCCAACAGCATTGTGGATGTATCTACAGCAGTTAAAGGCAGCTCACCACCACCTTCTCAAGTGCAATTAGAGATGTGTAATAAATGCTGGCCTAGCCAGTGATCCCCAGATCAAAAGACTAGAATGCAAAACTATCGTAAGGATAGCACCTCATAACAGTTGTTGGAAGCAGATGAGGGGATTGAATAAGTGCTCAAAGCAAATTGTGTAGCTGTAAAAACAGTGTTCGTGGTGTTATGTTTATTTGAATGAGCTAGGACATTGTTTGAACTTCTCGTTCTTCTAGTCTCTGATTTGTTGTATCTTGAATTTCACTTGGTGTTGAGGTAATTGGTATAACCAGGTTGGAAGACACAACAAATATACTGGTTGGATTTTGAACTATTACAATGGTGTTTCTGGCTGTACTACCAAATTGCTGAAATATACATTGACGCGCTGAAGTGTGAGGCTGTCATTGGCTTCTCTGGTGGTCGAATGTGTGGCTGCAGCAGTGTTAAAACTCTTTCCTCCCCAGATGTTAATCTTCCTGTAGCTTCCTGCTTTTGCAGCTCCATTTGCCTCTGCAGCACCATGTTGAGCAGACCATGATTTAATTTGATTTATTATTGTCACACATACCTAGGTACAGTGAAAAATTTTGTTTTGCATGCAGTACAGGCAGATCATAACAGACAAAGATCATAGGGTGATTGAACAGAGTGAGGAATACATAGTTACAGCTGCAGAAGGAGTGCACAAAGCAAAATCAACATTAGATTTGAAATTCGAGAGGTCCATTCAGCAGTCTTTATAAC